TGATGGCGCTGATTAGTCTTTTGTGTTTCCAGGTAGAATTAGGATGAAATTCGGCGGGAAGTCATTGTGCTCCTATCTACTTCAGGACTCTCGGAAATATGGCGGTTGCCGGAAAAAACCCGCAGGGGCCCAGACTGACCGCGCCCTTTGGGGAAATACAGCGAGACGCACACAAAAGGAAGCATACGGTCCTGCTCCTTCCTTTGTACTCGCCTCAACCTGACTCATTTCATCTCGCCTCTTTCTATGCTAGCGCCATTGTCTCGCCGTGCCTGTATCTGACAGAGCAAACGCCATAGATGACAGCAAAGACTTCACCAAGACCGTGTATAGAGAGAGAGAGAGAGACCCCGCGGGCTTGTTACTCCGAGCCGTATATGCAAATAAAGTTCGGCAAGGCGTCTCTCAGATGCGATAATTATGGATTTATTTGTAAGCTGTCACTTCCCTTAATGCTCAGGGACATCAAAATAAGTTCAAATGAAAATCCTTCACAGAGGATCACGTTTGAGAGCGAAGCCGAGAAGCAGAGATCCCAAAAAAACATGTGAATCTCGTGACGCAGAGGTCTGTCGACGCGCGCCGGTTCAGACGAGACGAGCAGCAACAGACTCCAGACGTCTGCTCCAAAATATTTACAAGTTTCGGGTTCGCTATAGCGTCTGATCGTGAAGGCTTTTATCGGCGGGCTGGTGCACAAAGACGCCGGGCTAATGTTTAGTGCCGCCTCAATCACGGCGACAAATCACAGCGGTGATCAAACTCACAAACAAACAAACTACAAAGGAAAGAGTTGCACTTTTTAGTTTTTTAGCAATGCAGTTTTTTGTCAGTCGGTGTAAAACAGAACTAAAATATGAGCGAAATTGGATTGATCGGACAAGCATTTTTACACATTAAGTTAAAAACAGATGTTGTTTCTCTTTGTAATCTCGGTGATTTGAAATGAATTAGGAACATTGTGTCCAATTAAAAACAAACACGTGTCTTGTCCTTGGCTTCACATCAATCAAAAAAGCAAAACAAAGCAAAACAAAGTGGCGCAGCTGAAGATAAAAACTGACATTCAAACAACTTTAACTGTGTGATACAATCCAGCTAACTCAGGGGTGTCTAACCGCTTCTTAAAGGGCCGGTGTAGCTGCAGGTTTTCACTCCAACCAGGAACACCTTTCCTGACGAGTTGAGCTGTTACTGACGTAGGCCGATGGCGCGTCCTGTGGCTAACTCCACAGCTAACAGCTAACAGCCCAGTCGACAACCCGACTGGCCTGTTGGGTTGATAATTAGGGTTGCCAACCGTCCCTTGAAATACGGAATTGTCTTGTATTATAGTAAAACTATGTGCGTCCCGTATTGAACCGATACGGGACGGCTTTTGTCCCGAATTTTCAGAGCCACCTTAAATGCATCACTCACTCACTGCATGTCACACGCGCGACCATAGACTACACGCTTAACACACGCACACACAACACACACAAAGTAATCACAATTTAAGCCTCTACCTTTTGGCCAATCAGTGTCGAAGGGGCGTAGGCTTGATCACATACATTGCTTTAATGTTGACAATCATCAACGTGGGCCGTGCCGCAGCATCATCAGCAGAAGTTTCATGGGTAAAGTAGCGTCATATTCCCAAATTCGGACTTCCGTGTAGTTCATGAAAGCTACTTTGTTAAACAAAAGTAATTGTGCTAAAAAGATCATCTCTACGTTGGTTTTTCAAATCCAATTCACTGTTTTAATGCAGAGAAATCTATTGAATCCAATGCTCTTCAAGCGCAGAGAAAAGCACTTAGGGGCCGTCAACAAATGTCCAGACCAGCTGTAAACAAACAATAGCTTTTACTGAAGCCATGTACATGCACTAAACTCTCAGACAATGTAAATAATGACCATGTCTAACTGCTGCAGACTTTGATTTCAACATTTGAGAGTTTTTTTACTGAATACATATGTTTGTCTTTTTTTTTTTTGCTTTTTACAGTACATGGTCTTTACTGTAACATCAATAAATAATGTATGTTACAGCATTTGTCTTATTTATATTTTGTATTACTAATAAGAATGCATGAAGTCCTCAACCAGCCAAAGAGTTCCACCTATTTATTCAATTTCATTTTTGACTAAGGATTGTTTTTTTATATGTAGTCAATAAATTACATTCTAAAAACTGTGATTATGAAATTCCGTGATTACTGTGTCGACTGAAATTAGGACTAAAAAGTGCTCAACCCGATCCACACAAATGGCGTCCCTTATTTTTTTGTTCTCAAGTTGGCAACCCTATTGATAATGGAAATAATAACTAAACTCTAAGTTGGAAGCTATTTACTGTCGAGTAATTACAGGACGCGTCATCTGCCAACGTGATTTTACTGACTTAGGCCGCAGCTCAAGAGGAAAGGTGTGGTTCAGGCGCAGTTGACTGCTTAAACCAAACTTTACACAAAACTTTGACTCTTAAAACCCACATCTAACAACATGGAACCATTAACATCTCGCTTCAAATTGCATTAAAAGTAACATTTGTGCCTTAATTAGTTTATATCTAAACTTTTTACACAACTCACAGACTTTATGTCAGCCATCTTGTATTGCTTCGGCTGCCTTGAGAAGCGCAGGTTACATCATAAACAGCTGAGGGAGCTCATCTCGACGGGTAAGACCAACTCGACAGACTCCACCTACTTCCTTCTCAGCAACAAAATCCTGGGTTCAAGCCGCAGTCGGAACTCCCTTTCTGAGTGGAGTTTGCATGTTCTCCCTGTATCTGCTTAGGTTTCCTCTCGACCAATCAGCTATCAGCACAAAGTGGCAAACAGTGACTCACAGGGATCTCTCATATACTTATACAAACGATCAAATGTGGCCTCGTTCCAAACATTATACTTTTACAAGACTACTTCTGTAGGGACACACAATGTATTATCTATAAAACAAAAGTTAGGTTTTTTCATCTCTGCTGTAAAGGCTACTTCACTCTCTGACCCAAAGATCTATACTTCATGGATGGTTAATTATGATAAATTCTCTAAATATTCAGACAAATGCTCAGCAGAGAACCATGACAGAGAACCACGAGATGACAGCTCAGAGTTCCAGTTGATCAGAACCAAAAGTCACGCAAAAAAACCGAACATTGCATTGGTTTGGAGGGAGCTGTGGACTTACCTGAGGACGTCCAATCAGTGACGAGAACCAGCACATGGAAGAGAGAGAAGGAAGGAGTGGTTAAGCAAAACTCAAACACAGTGAACAATGGCAGCTTAAAAACAATACTGGTCTTAATAATTATTACTATGTCCGTGTTATTATCATCGGTTTCAAAGGTTCAGGGACAGTTTTCTAGGGACTTTTTCAGAAATGTGATTTGAAACAGACAAAAGGTGGAGCTTTGAAACTTTGTTAGAGATAAAATACTTTTAAATACAATACAAGAAATAGATAAGTGAAAATATGTCAGTAAAGTGTGTAAGTGTAAAGCACTTCTTCTTTATCTGAACATTGTGTCGCGTGACACAGAAGAGGGCGACAAATGTTAAATGTAATGTGTGTGTGGGTGTGTGTAATGTGTGTGTAATGTGTGTGTGTAATGTGTGTGTGGGTGTATATGTGTGTGTGTGTGTGTGTAATGTGTGTGTTTATGTGTGTGTGTAATGTGTGTGTAAATGTGTGTGTGTGTAAATGTATGTGTGTAAATGTGTGTGTGTAATGTGTGTGTGTAAATGTGTGTGTGTAAATGTATGTGTGTAAATGTGTGTGTGTAAATGTGTGTGTGTAAATGTATGTGTGTAATGTGTGTGTGTATATGTGTGTGTGTGTAAATGTGTGTGTGTATATGTATGTGAGTAATGTGTGTGTATATGTGTGTGTGTAATGTGTGTGTGTAATGTATGTGTGTATATGTGTGTGTGTATATGTATGTGTGTAATGTGTGTGTGTAATGTGTGTGTGTATATGTGTGTGTATGTGTGTGTGTAATGTGTGAGTGTAATGTGTGTGTGTGTAATGTATGTGTCTATGTGTGTGTGTAATTTGTGTGTGTATATGTATGTGTGTAATGTGTGTGTATATGTGTGTGTAATGTGTGTGTGTAATGTGTGTGTGTAAATGTGTGTGTAATGTATGTGTGTAATGTATGTGTGTAATGTATGTGTGTAATGTGTGTGTGTAATGTGTGTGTGTAATGTGTGTGTGTAATGTGTGTGTGTAATGTATGTGTGTAATGTGTGTGTGTAAATGTATGTATGTGTGTAATGTGTGTGTGTATATGTGTGTGTGTAATGTGTGTGTGTATAAAATGTGTGTAATGTGTGTGTAATTGTAACACCTACGAGGGGTAATTACAGGGTAAAAATTCCTATCAGTATCCTATGGACCAGAATCAATCAGCTAAGTTCGTCTACTGGAGTAAAAGTTGGATTACAGAACGTAAGAAGCTAATAAAGAAGCCACAGACCAGTGAATAAGTTTAAATTGCCGGCTTATTATTGAAAAAAATAGACAAAAGACAATGGACATACAATAAACATTAAATTCAAAACACTTAACCCTTTAATTAGTTAAGTTCAACCTTCTAATTAAACCTTTGCTTTGATTTAACCTTGGTTTAGTATCAGTTCTAGTATCAGTTTTAGTATCAGGTTGCAACCTTTTATTTTAGTTTTAGTTCTCTTTCAGTAGTTCTCAGTTGAGATTTAGTTCAATTGATTGAGTTAACTCAGTTTAGTTCAAATCTAGTGAAATTCACCTTTAAGTTCACCATTCAAAGAAAAGTGGATACCATTGTAAAATGTACAACTCGGTAATAATCCTTCAAAATAAAATACAAAATATCAACTGAAGATGATTCAGCAAAAGACTGAATAAAGCTGTATACCACAGTATCAAAATAAAAATAGTGTTTTTATTCTTCAGACTCCGATTTACTTTCTTTGAATTAACAGTTAAATGTTCTCGAGTCCACTGCCTCTTTGCAGAAGTTTGGGTGAATCCTACCAGTTTAGAAGGAGTATGAGTTCAGTCCAACAGAGGGTGTTAACTCTCAGATGGATAGAGTTCAGAAGGTCCAGGGAAGGCTCGCCATCTTGTTTCAACCTCGTGCTCAGAGATGAGTTGGCTATTTCTCCAACCCACTCTGAATGGCCTACCGTAAACAACATAAAATGTGCATAAATACACATAATACATAGTCAGGTAGCTCGAAAATAAAGAAAAGTCTTCTCTCTGTCTCAACTGGTGCTTGCAAAATGGCTGCTATCAGCACTAGTCCAGACAGTGAACTTGTGCACACTTGGGTTAGTCTTCGCTAAAATTTGGATTGTGTGCTCATATTCTACTAGAAAATAATCTTAAATAACAAATATCAGCACTTAAGCTTCACATTTCCATAAAAATATTATTACAAAACAGATTTACATTAAAACAAAATACATTTCTTATTTTCACTCACCAAGTCCCGATTCTCCACAGTACAACTAGCCTCGGTCACAGGACAAGGTGAAAAACCAAAAATACTCTTCTTTAACTTTCTTTCAAACAAAAAATATCTCTCTACGACTCAAGACTCAAATACTTCCTCACAAAAATCAGTTTTAAACACTTTTTACTCAAATATCTTTAAACTCTTATCTCTTTCTTGTCTCCTTCTCTCCTTCTGCCCGCGTCTGCTTCTGGCGAGTTCTAGAACAATCCGGTTGGCTGTTGCTAGTCACATGGGTCACACATGGGACGTGCAACTACTTGTCTTTCAAAATAAAAGTACAAAGATATTTTTTAAACAAAACAACCATGAATTTGCATATTTTTTTTAGCTTGTTGAGATACTAATGAATAGAGTAATATATTATAGACGTTTTTAATGACCATTTAACATATTGACATATTTATTGACTTTTAATCTGTTGTAGTTATTGATGTTTTATTAACATGCTTTTACTTTGACGGCCACACTATTAACTTGGGTTACATAATGTACACGTATGCTCCAATGTAGTTCTAACCCGCGGTGTTTATTTCGTTGACAAAATATTATTGTCATATTTTTCGTCACAAATATATTTTTGGGACAGAAACTAAACAAAAACTAAAATATAGATAATTCATTGAGACGCAGACAATGACTAAAGTGATTGACAGTTTGTATCCAAAAATAAAAGACGTCACAAAAAATGGACTATGACAAAATCAAATCAGAAAAAGGGATAAGAGCAAATGAGAAAACAAGCGACTGGCCACTTCCAGAAATGGAAATATGAAGCCCCGTGATTAAGAGGCATCGCAGCATTAACGCGATTAATTTGCTCTACCGCCATCATGTGGGCAGATAAAGTGCTTAAGTGCTTACAATAAATGATGCCTCTTTGACCTCCAATGATATTATATAATATATATAGATTGTTCCAAAGTAAATTAAAGTAATAGCTACTAGTGTCATGTTTATCAGTGTATGCTAAAGCGAGAATACTGTACGTATTTGTTCAAAAATGGCCCTATTTATACAAATGTCATGAGCAACATTGCAAAAATTTCGACATATTTTCTTCGACTAAAATTGCTTCATATTTTTGTCAACAAAAATTGGACTAAAACTAAATTAAATCAGATGACTAAAAATGAGAATAAAACTAAAATTAATTTTAGTCAAAAGACTGAGACTAAAACAAAATTAGAATTTCTTGTTGTGCATGTGTGTGTGTGTGTGTGTGTGTGCATGTGTGTGTGTGTGTGCGGCGCGTGCAGCATGAGAGTCGGGCCGGAGTTTACTAAGACAGTGGCGCACACAGCTAGAGACAGACTCGCTCCGTCACACTGTGCGAATAGGGCTTATAATAGCATCATTAAGAGACCCCCTCCCCCTTTTCTTTTTTTTTAACCGACAGCTTTGACCGTAAACGTTGTGACGGTCAACCACCGGTTAAACCGATTTACATCCCTACTCCAGGGACACAGTAATGACAGGAGTGAGACATCAGAAACCTGCATCGAAGCCCTGACCATCACCATCCATTCACTCTCTCATCACAGAAGTTTCAACCCCTGTGCATGTCTTTAATGGAAGCAGCACCCGGAGGAAACCTACACAGACACGGGAGAACATGCAAACTCCACACACAAAGGCCCAGTCTAGAGGTGGCATCGACCCCAGGATGTTCTTCCAGCAAAGTGGTCTTTGATTATTATTTACAACTGGTCAAATTTCTATCACATGAGACCATTTCTTACCTCCAAGAAGGCTAAAGTTTATATGCATACCATGATATTAAGTACTGTAAGTAATCTTTATCTATATAGCGCCTTTCTCAGACCAGAGTCACAAAGCACTTTACAATTGTTTTTTAGGGGGGGGTTTGTCTCTCACTCCACCCAGAGATGGGGGCGAGGTCGCCATAATCTCACATTTTATTGTTGAACAACATGAAACACCATTAAACCTCAATGTAATCTCATTCATCTTCTGATTGACTTCTCTTCTTCAAACACAGTCGCCACGGCAACATGATTCACTGAGATCCTCAAAGTGTTGACTCTCAAACACTGTTTACTTTTGAAAGATCTCCACTTGGTTTTGGCTGAGACTAGAGAGAAACCAGAGGAATCAGAGAGAGACCAGAGGAATCAGAGAGAAACCAGAGAGAGAGACCAGAGGAATCAGAGAGAGACCAGAGGTACCAGAGAGAGACCAGAGGAATCAGAGAGAGACCAGAGGTATCAGAGAGAGACCAGAGGAATCAGAGAGAGACCAGAGGAATCAGAGAGAAACCAGAGGAATCAGAGAGAGACCAGAGGAATCAGAGAGAAACCAGAGGAATCAGAGAGAGACCAGAGGAATCAGAGAGAAACCAGAGGAATCAGAGAGAGACCAGAGGAATCATAGAGACCAGAGAGAGTACACATCTCTTCATATCTTCAACAATGGAGTCTGTGAAGGACCCACGGCTGCACCTGCTAGTGTCACATCTGCAGGAGACTTTGACCACAGTGGAACAGTGCATTCTGGATCTGGTGGAGTGGTCTCTGCAGGGACTGGAGCCACAGAGAGGAAGACTGGAGCCTCTGAGTCCAGCTTCAGGTGTGGTCCTCTTCTATACACAACACAAAAGCTCTTCTAGATCTGACAAACTGTAGGAAAACTATGTAATTGACTTATTGTAACTTATCGTAGCTTAGCACATCAGAGTCTGGGTTAAAATCATCTCCATTAGAGGAATATTGAACTGGCCATGGTCATGGAGACTGTAGAGTTCTTAAGTTCTTCTTGTACCCATATTTACTGATGTCCTTCCAGTCCAGTCTTGTAAACATTTCTCTCTACAGATGCAGTTGAACCTGTAGCTCCTCATTCAACTCAAGAGCAGGAGTTTGTGCTCAGACCCAGTGACAACGAGGAACAGAACAAGTCTTTGGTGAAGATCAAAGAGGAACCTGGAGCAGACTGTGTTCAAGCGACGGACATGGTTCTCCAGGAGGATGCGCCAAACCCTGAACCTGAAGGACCTGGACCAACAACGGACTCAACATCTGACAGAGGCAGAAGCGACAGAGAAAGGCAGCGTGCAGAGAGGAGGTACCTCTGTGAAGTCTGTGGGAAACTGTTCCAAAGAAAGGGGCATTTCACACGTCACAAACGTGTCCACACTGGAGAAAGACCTTATCCCTGCGACGTCTGTCCAAAGTCCTTCAAACACAACTGTAATCTTAAGATCCACCAACGTGTCCACACTGGAGAAAAACCTTATTCCTGCAACGTCTGTCTGAAGTCCTTCAATCAGAGCAGTCATCTCATAAAACACAAACTCATCCACACTGGAGAAAGACCTTATTCCTGCGACGTCTGTCCGAAGTCCTTCAAACGGGCCTGTTATCTTAAGATCCACAAACGTGTCCACACTGGCGAAAGACCTCATCCCTGCGACATCTGTCCAAAGTCCTTCAAACACAACTGTGATCTCAAAAAACACAAACTCATCCACACTTGAGAAAGACCTTTTACTTGTGACGTCTGTCCGATGTCCTTCAATCGGAAGGGCAGTCTTAAGACCCACAAACTCATCCACACTGGAGAAAGACCTTATTCCTGCAACGCCTGTCCGAAGTCCTTCAATCAGAGTGGTAATCTCATGAGACACAAACTCATCCACACTGGAGAAAGACCTCATCCATGTGGCGTTTGTGAGAAGTCCTTCAGAACCAGAAGTGTAGCAAACCAACACAAGAAAATTCACCACCAGAGAAGCTTCAGTGGAACAGAACCAGAAGAAGGAGAGCCTACGGAGAGCGGAGAGACTCAAGCAGACGTCACTCCACCTGCTGATTTTCAGATGATTGAATAAATGGTAGTAAATGGTAGTAATAAATGTTTTCAAGTGCAGATAAAGCCTGGTGTCTGTGTTCTGTTTTGAAGATGAGATGTTAGGTTCTTATAAGCTGTGCTAAAACATACAGCATACAGTGTCTTTTCATAGATAGATACTTTACTGGATCCTATGTCAACAGAAAAGAACGATACAAATCTTTAAAGCAGTCGACAAGTATTGACATTAACCCAAGAAATATGGTTATCATTACAATTATTTTATTTATTTGGCTTTATCCATTTTTATTATAGGATGGCAAGGCAAACAGGTTCCCTAAAATACTTCATTATGATGGAATAGCCATAACCGTGCCTGCCCCACACTGCAGTGGACACACCCAGCTCTGGCTCTCGCATTGGGGGCAGTGTGTGATGAGTGACAGGACTGGACTCGTCTCCACGCCGACAGAGGACGCAGACGCTGAGGACGCGGCGCTGATGACCACATGATTGACAGCTGGGACAGACTGATGTACAAGGGACTGTTCAAGGACAAGCGCGGCAAGAAGTGGCAGCAGTAATAAAAGGGCAGGATTATTGTTTATGTCGCGGACGCAAAAGGTCAGAAAGCTGTGACAGGAAAAACTAAAGCTGGGGTACCTAACTTTCAAACCACCAGAAATGGAACAAAGGAATGAGGTCCTGGCTCATTGTGTATGTTTGGCCTCTGTCATGTCTTTAGAGCAGATTAACCCTTTAAGGATCACCTAATTTTGCCTGCTCCTTCTTGAATTATGATACTCAAATGGAAATGCTTATTGTGTGGACATCTTGTGTCTGATTTTGTGTTATGAGGCCTCATTTGAAAGGTAACACCTTCTAGTTTCTGGAGATGTATGTTACAGTTTATTAGGAAGGATCCAGTGTGCACTACACCTTCACAAACATGAGTCAAAGTTATTTTTTTTTGTCTCGAAAAAAAAAAGGCAATTTCAAAATAATCTCCTGAAAACATACTTTATGGTATGTTGTTCAAACTCACCAGAGCAGATGTCTGTGGTGTTGGCAACAACTGTATGAAATTTTAGACCTTTAGGTGAAACCATTTTGATGCTGGGGGTTGGTCCATTTTTGTGCCAATTGTGCAAAAGTGTTTTACATGCAAATTATCAATGTTTTTACACTAAAAATCAAATTATATCATTTTTTGGCTATTACTCTTGCTATAAATAGGATTTTTTCCAGATATTGAAATGTTTGCAGAAAAGCTATTATTCATATACAGTGCCTTGCGAAAGTATTCGGCCCCCTTGAACCTTTCAACATTTCGCCACATTTCAGGCTTCAAACATAAAGATATAAAATTTTAATTTTTTGTCATGAATCAACAACAAGTGGGACACAATTGTGAAGTGGAACGAAATTTATTGGATAATTTAAACTTTTTTAACAAATAAAAAACTGAAAAGTGGGGCGTGCAATATTATTCGGCCCCTTTACTTTCAGTGCAGCAAACTCAGTCCAGAAGTTCAGTGAGGATCTTTGAATGATCCAATGTTGTCCTAAATGACTGATGATGATAAATAGAATGCACCTGTGTGTAATCAAGTCTCCGTATAAATGGACCTGCTCTTTGATAGTCTCAGGGTTCTGTTTAAAGCGCAGAGAGAACCATGAAGACAAAGGAACATACCAGGCAGGTCCGAGATACTGTTGTGGAGAAGTTTAAAGCCGGATTTGGATACAAAAAGATTTCCCAAGCTTTAAACATCTCAAGGAGCACTGTGCAAGTAATTATATTGAAATGGAAGGAGTATTAGACCACTGCAAATCTACCAAGACCCGGCCGTCCCTCCAAACTTTCATCTCAAACAAGGAGAAGACTGATCAGAGATGCAGCCAAGAGGCCCATGATCACTCTGGATGAACTGCAGATAACTACAGCTGAGGTGGGAGAGTCTGTCCATAGGACAACAATCAGTCGTGCACTGCACAAATCTGGCCTTTATGGAAGAGTGCCCATTTCTCAAAGATATCCATAAAAGTCTGGTTTAAAGTTTGCCACAAGCCACCTGGGAGACACACCAAACATGTGGAAGAAGGTGCTCTGGTCAGATGAAACCAAAATCAAACTTTTTGGCCACAATGCAAAACGATATGTTTGGCATAAAAGCAACACAGCTCATCACCATGAACACACCATCCCCATCTCAGCTGTAGTTATCTGCAGTTCATCCAGAGTGATCATGGGCTTCTTGACTGCATCTCTGATCAGTCGTCTCCTTGTTTGAGATGAAAGTTTGGAGGGACGGCCGGGTCTTGGTAGATTTGCAGTGGTCTGATACTCCTTCCATTTCAATATAATTGCTTGCACAGTGCTCCTTGAGATGTTTAAAGCTTGGGAAATCTTTTTGTATCCAAATCCGGCTTTAAACTTCTCCACAACAGTATCTCGGACCTGCCTGGTGTGTTCCTTTGTCTTCATGGTTCTCTCTGCGCTTTAAACAGAACCCTGAGACTATCAAAGAGCAGGTGCATTTATACGGAGACTTGATTACACACAGGTGCATTCTATTTATCATCATCAGTCATTTAGGACAACATTGGATCATTCAAAGATCCTCACTGAACTTCTGGACTGAGTTTGCTGCACTGAAAGTAAAGGGGCCGAATAATATTGCACGCCCCACTTTTCAGTTTTTTATTTGTTAAAAAAGTTTAAATTATCCAACAAATTTTGTTCCACTTCACGATTGTGTCCCACTTGTTGTTGATTCATGACAAAAAAATAAAAATTTTATATCTTTATGTTTGAAGCCTGAAATATGGCGAAATGTTGAAAGGTTCAAGGGGGCCGAATACTTTCGCAAGGCACTGTAGATATAGCGCGTGTTCTCCGTGAAAATGCTCCGCCTTCCTCTCTTACGCATTCAAATAACACTCGAACAGTGGGAGGAACTTTGAAGTCCGACACATCGCCTGAAACCTGAGATTATTGGCTACAAGATGGTTTGATTGACATCCAAATCGGCCAATGGTAGTCAAGACAATGCTGTCGTGACGCACAGATATCTATATGACTAGAGCGGTAAAGTTAGGTGTGCTTGTTTTACTCAACTTACTCTACCTTCCAAACCATAGCACTGAAAAGTTCGGGAATGGGCTTGTTTTGAAGGGGAGGCTTAGGGGAAGACGAACATACCCAGTGACGCTAGGTAAATAGTAACATGCCTTCTTCATACAGTGCGCAAAGAATAGGTTTTATTTTTGTTTATGCAACTTTCAATACTCAAATGTGTAGTTACAACTAGATATCTACTATAAGGATGACTTTGTAGAAAAAACAACTGGATATAATTATTTTATGAACCCTTACGAACAAAACGAATGCACACATGTGTGGATTAGACGTGATTTGCCCCAGAATATTAGCATGAAAAGGTAAGAAAGGACGATATATACTTTATATATATATACAGTTTGACTCCTTTTTCATACTTTTGGTGATATTTAATGTTTATTTTAACATAATACGCGTTTAGAGGTGGGAATAAGCTTTCAAAAGAGATATAGCTTGACTATATTAACACAAGTGAATTCTAATACTGATGCTGTTAAATGAAAAATATCTGAATCCTCCTTGTACAGGGAGGGTGATCCTAAAGAAAAGAGAACGTATTTGTCCCACAGAGGGAAAATTGAGTGTGTGAGTGTGTGCTTACTTCAGTGTGTGAGTGTGTGCGTGTGTGTTTGTGTGCATGTGTGTGTGTGTTACTTGTAAAATCAAGTAAGTAAAACATAACCTGTATCCTTGTTCACAAAAATACATTAAAATTGAGTGTTTGCGAGCGTGTGTGCGTGTGTATGCGCTATTGAGTGTGTGTGTGTGCATGTGTAAGCTTGTGTGTGTGTGTGTATGTGCGTGTGCATGTGTGTGCTTACTTGTGTGTGTCTATGCGTAAGTGTGTGTGTGCGTGTACGTGTACGTGTGCGTGTGTATGCTTGAGGTTCAGGTTGTAATGGTAACAACCTGGAGCTGAACGCCCAGAAGACAGTGGAGATGATTGTGGACTTCAGGAAGAGCACTGTCCCCCCGCCCCCACCCTCCGTGATGGACTCCCCCATCACCTCTGTGGAGTCCTTCCGTTTCCTGGGCACCACCATCACCCAGGACCTCAAGTGGGAGCCGACCATCAGCTCCTCATCAAGAAGGCCCAGCAGAGGATGTACTTCCTGCGGCAGCTCAGGAAAGCCAAGCTGCCTGCACAGATGTTGACCTCCTCCAGCACCTCCTCCATCACCTCCTCCAGCACCTCCTCCATCACCTCCTCCATCACCTCCTCATCACCTCCTCCATCACCTCCTCCATCACCTCCTCCATCACCTCCTCATCACCTCCATCACCTCCTCCATCACATCCTCTATCACCTCCTCCATCACCTCCTCCATCACCTCCTCCATCACCTCCTCCATCACATCCTCTATCACCTCCTCTATCACCTCCTCCATCACCTCCTCCATCACATCCTCTATCACCTCCTCCATCACCTCCTCCATCACCTCCTCCATCACCTCCTCCATCACCTCCTCCATCACCTCCTCCATCACATCCTCTATCACCTCCTCTATCACCTCCTCTATCACCTCCTCCATCACCTCCTCCATCACCTCCTCCATCACCTCCTCCATCACCTCCTCCATCACTTCCTCCATCACATCCTCCATCACCTCCTCCATCACCTCCTCCATCACCTCTTCCATCACCTCCTCCATCACCTCCTGCATCACCTCCTCCATCACCTCCTCCATCACCTCCTCCATCACCTCCTCCATCACCTCCTCCATCACCTCCTGCATCACCTCCTCCATCACCTCCTCCATCACCTCCTCCATCACCTCCTCCATCACCGTGTGGTTCGCTGGAGCCACAGTCAGGGACAAACAGAGACTACAGTGCATTGTGCGCTCTGCAGAGGAAGTGATCGGCCGCAGCCTTCCATCGCTGCAGGACCTGTACGTCGCCCGAGCTCGAGGCCGGGCTGGTCGTATCACAGCCGACCCCTCTCACCTGCACATGGACTGTTCCAACCACTCCCCTCTCACCTGCACATGGACTGTTCCAACCACTCCCCTCAGGCAGGAGACTGCGGTCCATCAGGACTAGAACCTCCCGCCACAAGAACAGTTTCTTCCCCTCTGCTGTTGGACTCTTGAACACTTCTTAACCTGTCCCCGCCCTTTATAAAGTCACTTTACTGCCCATCATACGTCACTTTACTTCACTGTACTGCTGTCACCTTACATTGTGTGCACCATGTGCACTTGTATATTGTAAATAGTAACTGTAACTCTATTTTAAATGTACATGTATTCTTTAGAAGTGTTTTTTATTGTTTATTTTTATTCTTTATTTTTATTATCTCTTTCTGACTGTTGCACTGAGCCAAAGCAATTTCCAACTCTGTGACTTCCTGTTACTTACATGGCAATAAAAATTATTCTGATTCTGAGTGTTGATGTGCGTGTGCATGTGTGTGCTTACTTGTGTGTGTGTCTATGCGTAAGTGTGTGTGCATGCTTGTGTGGATGTGTATGCTTAAGTTTGTGCGTGCGTAAGTGCGTGTGTGTGCGTGTGTGCGTAAAACAACATCTCTAAACTGTTTTAATCCTGCTGCTTTATGTTGAGCACTACAGTACACAGTGTAGGGATATTCTGCTTTCTGGCCAATAAAATATGCCCAAAAAAAGGCTATTTTACACTTCTACAATCAAGAACAAGAGCGAGGTTGATGCGCACAGCCAAATCTGAGACAAAAAGTCGACTCTCTGCTCAGCTTTAGCTCCAAAGGAAGTATTTTACTAGCACCAAAAGATGTGACGTTTCGGGGCAAAAACTCCCCTTCATCAGACCTGACACAACCCATTTGAATGATACAAACAAACAGGGCAAAAAAACAATAAATACATGAGCATCTTGCGTGTTGCAGAGAACACGAAGCCTGCACAGCACCAACAAGTATCTTTTCTCTTCAATTAATGAGCCATAAATAACAGAATGAAGGTGTCCACGCAGAGCCGCATTCATCAGCCTCTGTGCCGCGGCCTGCACCAAACAGACACAGGGCAAAACCACTGGTCCACATTTATTTTAGGACGGACACTCCAGCCACACATTCATCTTGGCTCTCTCCAGGTGCAGCTCTGACAAACACTGGAGACTGTGCACCACTCTGCCGGCCCATAATGCAATGTAAGGCCCACCTCCTGCTTGTCTCCATGGAGTTGATATTGCGTTTCCACAAATATTTCTCCGTAAGGTTTTGTAGGATGGAGAAAAGCAGGTGTTAGCAAAGATGATGGACGTTACCTACATTTATAGACATGGGTCTCTGCCCCTGATGGACCTACTGTACGTCTCTGTGGGTTTTTTTATTTTCACATTTGTTGAGTTTGAACCATTTGATTCTCTGATCTGTGTTGGCAAATTCTACTGTTGTGAATTTGCCAACACAATACAATAACAAGGCAATACAATAACAACCGGAATTGAATTATTGATAATGTTTTGACTAAATCTTTGTGCCATTAAAAGAACTGTAGCTGGAAGCACCAGAAGTTATGATCCTCGATGCAGGTGAGATTTCCAATGAGAAAAAAAAAGAGGACGTCGTTCCGAAAAAGTTTCATCGACCTGTAGCGCAACATAAAACAGATGCATTATTTTTCATTCATTCATTCATTTTCTTCCCCTTAATCCATTTCTGGGTTGGGGGGTGGCAGTCAGACCCAGTACACAGAGCACCAGCCCCTCACTGATCTTCCACAGGAGCTGAGATCGTGTAGCGGATGCTTCAGGCAAAGTGGGGTTAAGTGTGTTGCCCAAGGACACAATGACAGCAGACATCAGTGGGAGTCATGAAGTAGGTCTTATGGTGGGCTCGAACCCACAAAGGCCAATGCTCTACCAACTGAGCCACTGTCACCCACCTGCATTATTATTATTATTATAAAATCAGATTGTATTTATGAAGCGCTTCTCATACCACAAAAATCCCCATGACCCAGCAAACCCAAGTCCCAACAGACCATACATACAGAACATACATTGTCAAATATACTGTACACACACACACACACCAAATGGGTAAAATAGATTATAGGTCTGCACCAGGAGCAGAGAGCCTCCAGCAGCCACAGGGGACACCCCGGGACCCAGAGGAGACGTGAAGCCGAGGCTCCAAACCTCCGCCAGGTCCAGACCCTCACAGCCAACGCCCACCACCGCTCCCAGTGCAGCGAAAACACTGGGGGAACTAAAACAATGCAATAAAAGGTATAATAATGAAACGCTAGAAGCTCACGCGATAACATCAATGATTGTGATCCACACACAGAGACCGACTCCTGTGTCCTACCCATTCATCACTCCAAGTTTAGTCTCTCTGTGTAATATTTCCACAGTCCCTAAAGTCCTCAGCAGACACAGCACTTCCTTTTTCTACCCAGAGCTAAATTCACCTCGGCATCAGGTCACGAAGTGTGGTTATCATGCTAAAAACATTGCCTCTCTCTGCTCCCGTGCCCCTCAGTGATAGAAGTGTCCGACTGTAGTCACTCTGGGGATACACGCATGAACATAAAGTGGCGATAAATGACATTTCCCAAACTCCGGCTGTTATCGAGGAGGCAGGCGGGAGGTGGTGACAGCCGGGCGTCAGTTAGACAGCACAGACAGACCCGGTCCTTATCACATGAGCTCCGAGGCTACAGCTCCATCACACACACAAGTCACCGAGGTCGCAGGGATGGATGCAGAAAGAGCAATCTGTAACTCTAATTTTATAAACATATTCCCCGAAAAAAAAAAAAAAAAAAATCACATGTTGAGGATTGGCTTGGCTAATGTCGTGACTCCGCACAGGTCCAAGGGAGAACACTACATACTGCAGAAAATGATAGATTGAGGTAATAATTGCTTGAGTCGAGTTGTTTTTATCTTGATTTGAGTTCATTCTGACTGTGGTAAAACAAGATTCTCCAAAGGGACAAAGCCGTTTAGTCTTATTTTAAATTCTTTCAAGAGCTGATGCTATATTTTCTCATGTTAAAACTGTAAAAAGTAATGAAAATCCAGTCAGAAATTGCAAAAATTTGGCAAAATGTGTCTTAAGCCTGGTTCACACGGCAGGATAATTAGGCCAATTTAAGACCCGATTTGGTCTTAAATGGGACAAAGCCACTTAATTTTTTAAGTGGCTTTGTCCCATTGGAGAATATTGTTTCAAGACTGTTTCAAGAATGTACACAAATTAAAGGTATATCAGGGGATTTTTCCCAAATTCTAGTCTTCTCCACTTTTTGACCAAAACTCTCTGGTCTTATTGGACGAGCACGTATCACCAGAATGATTGACACTTAGGAGGACCAATAGTCTTGATGATCCACCCGGAAGTAGAACATGCTCCTATATACCTTTAACCTCTTAAGCTCGGGAAAAAAAACACATCCGCTGGCAATAGCAGATGTATTTTGAACTTCATAATCCACAAGCTACATATCATTTTAAAGCTTATTTTCTCAGCTATATTTATATGTAAGTGTAAACGATATCGGACTTTGCATTAAAAAGATATAACGCATAATATGGGCACAAAATAAATCACGTTTGTATACGTTTTTTACCTTTCGTCTTCTGCTGCTCCGACAAATTAGACTTTCCCCATCCTTGCTTAGTCTGTTTATCTCCGTAAGTCTTCATTGAAAAAGAATATCCACTTGTATTTCCCAAAGTATAATCCATTCTTCAGAAATAATCCAAAAATTCTTCTGTTGCAAAAAAAACTCTCAAAAATGTTCAGGCTTCTCTTTCACATTTCACCAAGTTTGAGTTTCCACATAGTTCCAAATCAGCTCCCGTATTCTCTTCCGTCAATAGAAGCAGCGTGAGCGGGAGAGAAGTCTTTGGGAGTTAGTGCGCGGACCTAGCACTCCTTGTGTTATTACGCCTCACAATATAGTTCCCCTTTTTATCCGCTGAGAAAATGGACGTGTTACATTTCTGTGTTACTATACTTTGTAGAGTAACACGTCACGTAACTGCATTTAAACAGGGAACACGTGGAAGAGTTTGGGAGCTTCTAACGGGAGCTGATTTGGAACTATACAGTCTGTGGAAGAGGCTGCGTTTGTGCTGCGTTTGCATGACAGAGCACACGGACACAGACCACACAGGTTCATATCAGTACTCCGCTGCACGACTTATTACTGGAGCTAAAAAGCGTGACCATATTTCACCAATCCTCGCATCTTTGCACTGGCTTCCAGTCAAATTTAGAATTGATTTTAAGGTTTTGTTGTTTGTTTTTAAAGCGTTGAACGGACTGGCCCCTCAGTACGTCACAGACCTCATTGAAGTCTACACCCCAACGCGCGCTCTGAGGTCTGAGGGCCAGCTCCAGCTTGTGGTTCCTAAGACGAAACGTAAAACTCGAGGGGACAGAGCGTTCTCCGTCGTCGGCCCTAAGCTGTGGAACGCTCTGCCCCTCCACGTCTGAACAGCCACAACATTGGAGTGTTTTAAATCTCGTCTTAAAACCCACTTTTATTCTCTGGCTTTTAACACCGCGTGAGTTGTGTGGTCCCTGTTTCTTTTAATTTTTTTTTTTGTGTTTTATGATTTTTATTGATTTTATAAATTGTTTATTTATTGATTTATTTTTTATTCTATTTTTTGTGTACTTTTTTGTGCAGCACTTTGGAACTGTTCTGTTGTTTAAATGTGCTATAGAAATAAAGTGGATTGGATTGGATTGGATATCAGTCTAAGGTAAGAACATGTGTCAGGATGTGAACACGGGGCATATTCCTTTAAGATAAAAACCACTCAATTCAAGCATTTATGACCTCAAATGTAATATTTTTTTGCAGTGAAGGGAGACATTTCTCAGGGCGACAGTAGCTCAGTTGGTAGAGCACTGACCTTAGAGCCTGAAGGTCGTGGGTTCGAGCCCACCGTAAGACCTACTTCACGACTCCCACTGATGACTGCTGTCGTTTTGTCCTTGGGCAAGACACTTAACCCCACTTTGCCCGAAGCCCCCACTGAAAGATCTCAGCTCCTGTGGACTCACCACCTGCAGGAGGATCAGTGAGGGGCTGGTGCTCTGTGGACTGGGTGTCATCTCTGGCCACCCCCCCGACCCAGAAATGGATTAAGGGGAAGAAAATGGATGGATGGATGGATGGATGGGAGACATTTCTTGATAATGTCTTCGTCCCGTTGGTGAATCTTGTTTCAAGGCTCAGTCAGAATGTGCTCAAGTTAAGCCTTTTTACCAAACTTGAGCATTTCTTTCATTATTATTCGTCCTTGTATGTAATTGTGCAATGCATGATTTCATACACACTTCAACACACACTTTAACACTAAGAACAAAGAGAAAGTTCTTTACACAGATTGTCGGCCTCACGCTGCTGTATCCTCAGCAACAGAACAGAAAATTAAACGTTTAAACTTCTTCATGTGGAAAAGTAATACATAAATAAAGATATAGCTGCTGTATGGACAATGTTGAATGAGTTTCTGAACTGATAAAGAGGAGAGCGGGGGACCGGCTTTTCTGACTGAAGCCACAAGCAAAACTTCAGACAAAAGCAATGTGGGAGAAATTGAATGTTGGAGCGCCACAGATAGCTCAGGGTTTTCAACTCCATGTGTCAGCGTTGGGTGTGATTAAATATTCAGCACTGGCCACGATATGAAAAAAAAAGCCATTACATTTCTATAACTGTCAGAACGTTTTTAATTGTATGTTTAGGGCCGGGATTGATTAGGAAAATAATCCAATCAATTAGAGGCTTTGTAATTAATCAATAGAAATATATCACATTTTAATCACATAAATATTTGACCAGAAAACAGTAAGAAGTATTTTTTTTCACATTATCTTTTAGGGTACCATTGAGTGATGACTGAGTAGACAGCAAAAAATGTGTTTCTTTTGGTCCATTAAAGTCCATTACATTTTGCCTTTATCTTCTACCACTCTATAGTCAAGTGCAATCCAGCCAGAGCGTTGGTTATTTTATCAGACGTGGACTTGAAGCCGTTACCTGGTAGAGTACGGCTCGGGTGCCGGGCTAACGTTCATGCTAGCTTATTCCTTCAGTGTGGTTTGTTGTTGTCCAAAGTCAAGAACGCTAATTGGTGCTCAATGTCAATTCAGGGTCAAGACATACTGTATGTCCACAAGTGTCCCCCATTGTCAGCTCTGGTATAATCCTGATTTAGTCCTGGTTTAGTCCTGATTTAGTCCTGGTTTAGTCCTGGTTTAGTCCTGGTTTAGTCCTGATTTAGTCCTGGTTTAGTCCTGGTTTAGTCCTGGTTTAGTCCTGGTTTAGTCCTGGTTTAGTCCTGGTTTAGTCCTGGTTTAGTCCTGATTTAGTCCTGATTTAGTCCTGATTTAGTCCTGGTTTAGTCCTGGTTTAGTCCTGGTTTAGTCCTGGTTTAGTCCTGGTTTAGTCCTGGTTTAGTCCTGATTTAGTCCTGGTTTAGTCCTGGTTTAGTCCTGGTTTAGTCCTGATTTAGTCCTGGTTTAGTCCTGGTTTAGTCCTGGTTTAGTCCTGGTTTAGTCCTGGTTTAGTTCTTGTCTTGGTTTTGGTACCAAACCATTTCTTGTGGTATTGAAATTGAGTTAGGCATGTGGTGATAACGGTTCAAAGGAAAACTATTAGGGATCTCACACGGGAGACATTTTGCACAATCTGAGACAAAGAATATAGTCTGTGCAGGATATAAATATGAACAATAAATAAATAAATAAGTTGCAGTCTTGGGCGTAAGATAGTTTGGACTTTGTACAAACCATGGAGTCTGAAAACACGGCGTTGGCAGATGGCTCTTCTCTCTCTGTCAAAACTGGACCAAGTTTGTTGGAGCAGCTGCTTTAGCTTCACAGCTGTCAGCGGGCCCTTTCCGCTGTCACCTCCTCCTGCCGCCGCCGCCGCCGCCACCGCCGCCGCCACCGCACACACACGTGGTCCTGGCCGTTGCCGCTCCTGCAGCAGTCGCACTCTGGGATTGGCTGGAGCTCGTGAGGTAACGCACTCCTGGGACGAGGTGTGGTTCGGAGCCTGTCAGAGAGAGACGTCTGCAGGAACCGAGACTGTCTCCTCCAGAGCTCGAGCGTGAACACGGCGTCTGATGTGACGGAGCCTGTCCTCAGATCTGTGCGTTTGTGAAGAAATCTACATTGATGAGCTTTAAATGCTTCAGTGTGAACTTTGTGAACTGTGGTTTTGTGTTGTCCAAATGCAAGAACTGAAAGAAGCGTCCGAAGAATCTTTGTCCAATGTAAGAATATATTTAGACTCAGGACTGCAGAGATTTATCAAAAAGAAAGAAAGAAAGACAAACAGTATAACATATTCAAATGCTTCCTTCTGTTTGATTCAGGAAATGTCCCATCGTCCTGTTTGAATGTATTTTATATATATTTTATTATCCATGTTTCTACTAATGATAGTGTTTTGATACCAGCTGTATTAGACTTTCAATCGCTAGTTCTTAAATGGCAACAAAAGTCCATTGACTCCGTTAACAGGTGGGAGGGGTTAACTCCTTTTGCAGATTGAAACCCTTGGATCTGAGTCTACCGTCAAGTATGTAATGCAAGTGAGCCGTTAGCATTTAGCATTTAGCCTAGCTTTAGCCATCTTCTTTGCCGCTAAGGGAGCCCTTGGGGAGTAGCGCCACAATGCAGGACATGCTGATTGAGCGAAGTGTATGGATGGATAAGGCCAGGCTAAGTTTGGAGTCAACCACAACTGAAATTCATTGAAAATCATTTCAGCGGCCACTAAGAACCGCCTCTCAGGCCGGACTTGGCGTTTGTCGCGCCGGCCTCAGTGCGTGACCAAAGGTAGAGTGTCGAGACAGAAGCAGCGAAAGGGAAAATGATAACGGAGTCTTTCTTTTCTCTTAGGGATGATAAGTGACGCCCCGCACATGGCCTGATCAATATCTAATCTGCAGAAGTAAATGGCCTGTGTTTGTCTTTCATCTTTGAGGAAATGTATAGGCATCTGACAACAGCCAAGGACATTCATCACCTAATGAATCAATGATTTGAGGAGGGGCACGGCTGACGACTGCTGTGAGAGGGAGCGAAGACGGCCTGTCGGAGCCGCACTCTCTCATTACAACTATACCATACCGAAAAGCAGACTCTAGCTGCAAGGTCTGGCTCTAGAAAAAAAACATGTAAATGCTAATATGAGATAGCAAAGCGTCTAATTGGTTGCATCATTTCATTATATTTCAGGCCATGGTATAAACAGACTAATGCCATTGTGCCAGTGTAACATTGTTGCTTGTGTGGCATCATCCTTAATGCGAGCATATATACTGTAATTATGATTTAAAGCTAACGTCAGGATACAGTAAAGTCTGAGCTGGTGTTGTGAATGATGCATGAAGGCTCCTGATTCTCATGTAAGATATATGTTTACACTTCACATTATTGTTTTTGTATTATTCTAGTTTGTGTCTGAATGGATGGGAGCGGATTGGATTAATATACGATTTTTGCTTTGCCCAATCCTTATTATCCTATTTTTCTGTGAATAATTGTTTGTATCTTGTGCATTTTCAGACTTCTGCTGCTAACAGGTCCAGATGTAAACATGCCACGATATAATTCTTGAACTAGAATATTCAGTGTTCTATGCCCACTGATGCTAAAGTCAGAGATTTTATTTTAGTATGGATTTATTGTGTGACATTTGGCTTGTATAGAATCACTCAGCTTGTGCAAATAAACAAACTACAGCTGCACAATATATCGGAAAAATATCGTTAGTGCGATATACATTTCAAAAATACGCACGATAATTTTGTTTTTCCTTCATTAAATACAACAAACAAACACACAAGTATATAAATATATGCATTTGGATGTCATTAATGTTTTTGTTTTCGTCTCTTGCGTTTTAGGTGAAAGAAAAAAATATCGTCATCGCGATACTAAACACTCATATCGAATATCGCAATATTTACCAATATCGTGCAGCCCTAGCCCAAACATCAAAAGAAGGTTAAAATATCGTCTCTTTTGTGCAAAATATATTACGTACAATTAAATTAAAAGTGACAGTAGCAGTGCCAGTTTTTCCAGCCCTAGTGCAGGTCCTTAAAGTGACTTATTGTACAGTCTGACAGCGGTGTGGATGAAGGCCCTGAGAAATGTCCCCACTGTGGGACAGATAAATGATCTCTTAATCTTAAATGTATATAAGAGTATGTTCTACTTCCGGGTGAATCAAGACTATTGGTCCTCCCAACTGTCAATCATCCTGGTGATACGTGCTCGTCCAATAAGACCAGAGAGCGGAGAGGGCGGTTCTTTCCTAAAATTTGAAAAAATGTTCCAATATTAACCATCCATCCATTTTCTACCCCTTAATCCAGGTACAGTGTGAATTTTGGGTTTTCATATTGTGTGGCAGCAGTATCCGCCTCCTTCACAGCCACCCAGGTTCTTGTTAGATTGTGTTACTAGAGGGCCCCTGCAGGACCTCGGCTCCTTCTCATCACAAACCTTGTAGGAGCGAGATATCTAAGAAAAGCCCTGGTCCCCTGTGTGTGTTGTGAATAATGCTGGCTAACTCGCGCACATGTCTGACAGCGTGCGTCTGACCTTCCTGCTCCTGACAGTAAAGAATCCGCTTTTTCACATTTATTCTCATCCCTTGTCTTTGCAATTACCATGTTCCATCTCTGTGCGTCCCCACCGTCACCCGCAAACCCCACAAGGACCGGCTCTCTTTCTTCTGCTGTAGCAATTACGGCCCCTATCTCTCTGAAACAAAAAGTTTGGTGTAGGATATTAGAAAATGTCAAATTCAGGTTATATTTCACTTAAGTCCAAAGGCGATGCAGAACTGGGAGGAAATACTCTCTTCCAGGAGCTGCATTATGCATGAAGCTGCAGGTCCGTCATTATTTTACAGCAGAGGAGGGCGAGAGTTTGCTCTGAGAGTGGGGAGAATACACGATTCACAAACACGAGACAACAGTCACAGTGGGCAGGAGGGGACTCTGATGTTTGAGGAGAGTGACGTCATGTGACAAGAAAAACATATGACGGCATCTCGATACGGAGTCAGGCTTCCTCAGAAACAGCCTGTGAAAGACGTTAGACCAGGGGTGTCAAACCGGTCCTCAAAGGGCCGGTGTGGCTGCAGGTTTTAGCTCCAACCTGAGCAGGAGCACATCAAACTCCACCCATTTCCTCAGGTGAGTCCAGTTTTAACCTGAAGATTTAAGGAAATGGGTGGAGTCTGGTGTTCTTCTTCCCAGGTTGGTCCTAAAACCTGCAGCCACACCGGCCCTTTCTGGAACCGGTTTGACGTCCCTGCGTTAGACTAATTGAATTACGTTTATTTTTGCATCAGAAAAGTCAGAGCTTTAAAGTCTGTGCCTCTAAATTATCCCCAACATTAATTTTCTTCCCCTTAATCCATTTCTGGATCGGGGGGTGGCAGTCAAAGCTGCACCCAGTCCACAGAGCACCTATCCCCAACATGATTACTCTTAAAACAATAGAGCCGATAAATGTGTTATGCACTGAATGGGAATTTTTGGGTCGATACCGATACCAATGTTTAACGTAACAACTTGGCCCATGTTTTTTTCTGTTTGTTATTTATTTATATGTTTATTTCTTGGTGGCTTCAGGTTTCCGTTTTTCTTCAGCTTCCATGCAATCACCGTACACCCACAAAATTAGATTTGTGGGTGATGTGTGATTTACATGAATTTCTAGGAGTCCATTCTCTTGTAATCTCACTGAAACACAAAAAACTGCATAACGCTCATATTTTTCTGATGACTGTAAATGCAAATTTCATAAAAATATCAAGAAGACAAAATTAACCAGCCTAAACTAATAAAGCAGACCCATGAGAAAATAAACTACATGTAACAAAATGTCTTCTTTAGTGCAAGCTCCATGACATTTCCCCGTGTTCTTCTAATTCTCCGCAGCCCAAAAAAGTCCACTTCGCCAAAAGTGCAAAGAGAAAAACCCCGGTGCAGGTCACTGACTCACGGGTAAGTGTATTTTAGAACTTCTTTATTAAGGCTGACTGTGTAGCGCGGCGCTGATATGCATGCACTGGGCTCTTATCACACGGGAGCAGGACGGAGCAGTCACCTGAGCGTCGACATGCTTTAGCGGCGCTCCTGATGAAGCCGGTGGGCAGCCATGACACCCCTCTGACAGCCTGTCCGCATCGCCACCGCTGCTGCACCACCGCTTTATCGAAGCCCGGCAGTTCACGAGGATTTGGGAAAGACACAGCGGTCGAACGGAACAATTTTGTCTTTAGAACATTCCCGTAGTGGACTAAAGGGGGTTAATTGTTCCAACATTTAGGCTCAAAGAAGGTTGGGGGTTTTTATAGATGTTAAACCAGGGTCTGTGAATAATAATAATGTTAACTAACTAAACCTCTGTACTTAAGAGTTCCTTCATCGGAGGCAAACACGGGGAGAACATGCAAACTCCACTCAGAAAGGCCCTGGTCTTATTGCTGAGAGGCGAGAGAGCTAACCACTCAGCCACCGAGCCGCCCACAATTATAGGATTGAGACAGATTTGGTTGGTTTGACTTACACATAAAACCTACCAGTCTTCTCCTTTTCCTTTCCCCTTTTTTCTGTCTTTTGGATTTACTTTTGCCATGGTAACCGTCCAGGATGGGCAGGATCGAGGCTGCGCTTGGAGGTCTTTTGTCTTTGTGCCTTGGACCGGGCGACCGTAGCTTGACTGAGCCATAAAAAATGATCACGTCTCTGTTTTGTCGCTGGAGGAGCTTGTTTAACCTTTAGCCCGGCACATAATTTGTCAAGAGGAACACGGACGATATCCCAGCAGCTTTGGCCTGTTCAGAGCGCCACACATCAGCCTGAAATTGAAGAGGTTGGTCCTCACGCAGACACAAAAAGGAAAATGCGGAGGGGGACGGGGGAAAAAAAACAAAATAAAGTGTCCGGAGGTGGAGGTGGACAGATGGCTCCAGTCTCAGCGTCAACTTTGAAATGAAATCAAGCACAAAATTTGTCTTTCCTCAGAGGAGAACATTACAAACACAGACAGGCCGGCAATTTAAAACAGGGTTAAAGGGGAT